AATCGTTTGACTTAGTTCAATGGTGGAGGGCACGGGCATTAACTTGGCCAATCCTAACTCGATTGGCAATGGATATATTTTCGATCCCAGTCTCCACTATTTCATCCGAACAAGCTTTCAGTACGACAGGAAGAATACTTGAGGAACGCCGGAATGCATTGCAAAGGGATATTGTTGAAGCCTTGGTTTGCATTAAGGATTGGGATCGGGCCGATCAACGTCTACAAGATACAATTTCACCGGTAAGCCAAGAATGGATCGATGAATTTAATCGATTAACATTTAATTTTGAAGATGATCCCTTAGCTTCAAATTAAATTGTAAATTTGTAATTTGTAAATATGTATTTACTTTTTACATTGTATTTGTAATTTAATAAACAATGTAAGTTTGTACAATTTGTAATTCGTCACAAAATGATTGCACTCTTTTTTCCTTGCCAAGTTTTTATCCCAATTGGGTTTTTCTTGGTAAGGTTTTTAATGAGGCAATCATGAATTACAAATTTAAAAATTAATAAAGAAATAATTTTTTTATATAGTTCGTGTGTTCATTTCAAATTTAATATATATATAAATATAATATATATATAAATTGTAATACTAATATATATATATATATAAATAACTTAATATTAAAAAAAAGTTTAAAAAATTCGGGCAATTCAGGCGGGCTCGGGCCGCCCGGCCGGGCTCGGGCCGCCGAATACAAGCCCGCGGCCCGTTCAAGGTGAAATTTGGGCTCGGGCGGGCGGCCCCAAAATCTCGGGCGGGTCGGGTTCGGGCTCGGGCAAATCCTCGGGTTTTTCGGGCGGTCGCGGGCGGCCCGTCCAAAGTTCCAGCACTAATTGTATTATCATTTTCTCTTTATTTAATATGATTCTATATTTAAAATTATGTCTTACCCGCACACATTTATTATTATACTAGTAAAAAAAAAAAAAGCGTGTTTCGTGCGCATGAATCATATAAAATAACGATTTGTAAAAAAAATAAAGATAAAAGTAAGAAAAAGGAAATAAAGTAAAAGACAGGGAAAGACAAAAAAAAAAATTAAGAAAAAAACTTATGCTAAATGTTTCGTAACTGAAACGGTAGAAAAATCCATAAAAATAAAATAAAATATACAAATATCAAAATAAATAGTAGAATATATTGCTCCAGAGTTTTTATTTTACAAACCATATTTAAAAGAGTCCATAAAGTTTAAAATTATACAACTTTGAAAAAGTATCGACCAAATACAGTTTATATACAGAAATACAGTACAACTCAGAATTAAAAACTGCAAATTTAGAATAAACTAACCACTTTGAATCTCACGCCTTCAATCCATCGACATCCACTTGCCATGCGGTAAATCTAAACCGCTAACTCTGGAGGGAGGGGTTAAAACATTGAAAATAGAGGAAAAGTGACCGAAATGTCCAGTAGGATATAATTTTATAAAACTGAATAAATAAATGAAAGTACAGGCCTGAACGAATCAGTCAGAACCAAACAACCTTTTTACTGAAAGATAAATAAACTGAAATTCCATATTACAGGCAACCAACAAGTAATTTAAGTAATTAAATTACTTACGACCAAAGCAATGCCTTAACACCACCGTAGTGGTCCGTTCGGGTTTCGGGTTCTGCCCCCAAGAATACGATCTCCATATCCTATCTAGGCCATCAGCGGGCTTACAAGTTCGCAAAGTATCTTATCTTAAAAAAATGTTCATTAAAAACTTGAAATCAGTCCATTATGAGATCAATAGCGAAAATCAAGCTATTGGCTTGAAAGTACTTTTCTTTATCAACATATCATTATCTTTTAAAAACATTACTTGGCCAAAACACTTTAAAACAGGCTAACAAGGACATAAGAAGAATATCCTACCTCTTGACAATTTAATATACGGATAATTTCATATTGCCCAACCGTCTATTCTTGAA